ATTTCGAATCAACGACCTAGTCCTTAGGAGAGTCTTCCTCTCCTCCAAGGAACCAGACATCGGTACCTAGGGTCCGAATTGGGAAGGCCCATATAGAATCAAGGAAGAGATCAGACCTGGGACATACCAGATTGAAGAAATGGACGGCAAGGCACAACCCCGTCCATGGAACATTGAGCAACTCTGAATCTATTATTAATGAATGTACTACCTCGCTGGACGATCTTTCTCAACTCATGTAATATTTCCATGATTCAATAAAATTGTCCATGATTGAACTCAAGTCTCGCACTACGTCGTCACCTCGGAGGAGAGGTCAGCATCCCATCTCTGGGCTACCTCGCTTGAACTCCGAGGCGCATGCCACTTGCCTTTTTCTGGCGCAGCTGAACACCACTGGGAGAAGCCTCAACTTGGATGAACCATCCACCATGTTGGGAAGCGTCATCACCTCGGAGGAGAGGTCAGCGTCCTATTTCTGGGCCACCTCGCTTGAACTTCGAGGCGCACGTCACTTGCCTCCCTTTGGTGAGGCTGAACGCCACTGGGAGAAGCCTCAACATGGATGAACCATCCACCATATTGGGAAGCGTCATCACCTCGGAAGAGAGGTTAGCGTCCCATCTCTGGGCCACTTCACTTGAACTCCGAGGTACACGCCACTTGCCTCTCTCTGGCGAGGCTGAACGCTATTGGGAGAAATCTCAACATGGATGAACCATCCACCATGTTGGAAAGCGTCATCACCTCGGAGGAGAGGTCAGCATCCCATCTCTGGGCCACCTCGCTTGAACGCCGAGGCGCACGCCACTTGCCTCCCTTTGGCAAGACTGAACGCCACTGGAAGAAGCCTCAACATGAATGAACCACCATGTTAGGAAGCGTCATCACCTCGGAGGAGAGGTTGACATCCCATCTCTGGGTCACCTCGCTTGAACTCCGAAGCGCACGCTACTTGCCTCCCTTTGGCGAGGCCACTGGGAGAAGCATCAACATGGATGAACCATCCACCATGTTGGGAAGCGTCGTCATCTCGGAAGAGAGATCAGCGTCCCATCTCTGGGCCACCTTGCTTGAACTCCGAGGCGCACGTTACTTACCTCCCTTTGACGATGCTGAACTCCACTGGGAGAAGCCTCAACATGGATGAACCATCCACCATGTTGGGAAGCGTCGTCACCTCGGAGGAAACGTCAGCGTCCCATTTCTAG